TTATCAGATCAATAGCTTGTTCAGATGTACTCTGTCGAATAGAACCTCCAGCTGCACTATTAATAACCAACCTTGTTTCAGGAGATATGCCATTAAAGAAGATCGCCACCTTTCTGTCATCATCTCCCTCATAGGGCGGACACTTTCGGATAAGTTCTTGGAATCTATTCCAGGTTGCACACAGCGATTCTCCTTCAAGTTGGCGGAAGTTTGTGATTTCATTTACCAGCTGGTTGTATCTTTCCATAGAAAAGAAATGGGCAAAGAACTTTGATGACAAGTCCTCCCATGTTGTGATACTATTAGCTGGCTGCCTTTCTATCCATCTGAGAGCTTTTCCCTTAACAGCAAAAGGGAATAATCGAAGCCTTACAACATCGGCCGACACTCCGTTGTGTTTGGTAGTGTCACAGATCATCAGAAATCGATCTATGAACTCATGAGGATCTTCCTCCTCAGCACCAGAGAACTGAACCCTTTCCACCAAAGAAATCAAAGATGGCTTCAGCTCAAAATTATTTGCCTCCACCGTCGGCTTGATTATACTTGAATTTGGCCTATTGAACACCGAAGTCAGAATGGTGTCTAATAATCGTGGATGTGGGTTATTTGCATTGTTGTTACCCGCCATCTCTTCTATTTGTTGTACAGGTTCTCGATTGAAATCTTCCCAAATTAACTGCTTGGCAACTTTCCTCAGTCTCCTCTCAGTCCTTGAAATTTCAGGATCAATTACAAAGTCTGTAGGAGGAGGTCTACCTCGCATATAACTCAGAAAAGTATGTTAGTAGCACCTGTAGAACACAAAATAAGATAGAACAAAATAAATAAAAAAAATACAAATCCAATCTCAAAGATCAACGGTTATTTGTAATATTGGAATTAACAATCCCCGGCAACGGCGCCAAAAACTTGATGCTCTCCGGCAAGTATACCGATCGCACAAGTAATATAATGAGCAAGTAGAGTATCGTCTCCACAGGGATTGTAAACCAAGTACTACAATAACCAGTCCCCTCAAGTTGGAAAAATGGTTTGTGGTTTGGAAAATTGTGAATTGAATTCGAGTGACAATATGAAATAAAAATAAAGACTTGTTTTTATATTTTTCTTTAAGAGAAATAAAACAATAACAATGAGATTTGATTTTAAAAATATGAGAAAAATATTGTAGTTAGAGCGCACTCACCTTATGATCCTCACTTCTTACTTTGGATTGATTCACAATATTTATTCATATAATTACTCGGATAAATTATTATCTAAAAATATTTGTTAGTTAACCCTCAATTCCTTGCAAGGTTAACCCTTTAATCCCCAATTGGAACCCCAATTCCTTGCAATGTTCCTCATGGTATTAAGCAATGAACGCAATAATTTAAGCATCCGCAATTAAATACACATCTATTCCTAGCATGCATACCAATTGTTGTCCTACCCCCTTTCAAGATCAAAACCCTAATATTCCTATCTAGGGTTCTAACCTTCAAACTATTCTCAACTATCAGATTGATCAGTTCTAATAAAGAAAATAGAAAATACACACAAGGTAGAGACAAAGATAATTATATAAATGAATAAAACTAAATCAATCCATCGTAACAAGGGTTCACATAGGGCTCGTGACCCTAACTACAATAAAAGAGAACTAGCCAAGCATAATCATGGCTGAAAATTCAATATTCGATAAAAGCATAAAATTACAGAGAAAAAGATGAAGAAGAAAAACTGTGGAAGAATCCTCCTGAGCTCTGCCGTCGGCCTCCTCTGAATGGAATTAGATGATCTAGGTCTAGCACAAGGATCCTATTTATAAACTTATTTTTTCCTTCTTCCAAAAATACCCCTGCGGAAAGACGGTGTTATTTTCTCGCAACCCAGCGCCAGTTGGCGCCGGTTGGGCGCACGTTTGCACCAACTTGCTGCCTCGAATACGAAAGTCGAAACTAATTGCACGTGAATCAGCGCCCGTTGGCGCCACCCTTGGTCTTTTGGGCGCCACTTGGCGCCATTCTCCCTTGACTTTGTAATTTTGGGCGCCGGTTTGCTTCAAGTTTGACGCAAGGTGGCATGGTGGCGCTAGTTTGCGCCATTCTGGCGCCAACTAGCGCCAATTCTCTGGCATTTGGCCTGTGCAGCACGACGCAACTTGGCGTGGGATTTCTTAACTTTGGCGTCAACTTGCGCCAACTCTCTAGAGATTGTACCGATACTAATTTGATGAGTTGCATCATTTAACTTTTTATACTTTTCAGTTCTATTTCCTGTAAAAATACAATCAATACGTGAGAAATATTATTGACAAGAAAGAATCAATATAATTAGCAAATATGTAATTAAATTGCTCTTTTGTGACTCAATTCTTATCAATTTTAATATGGAAAAACCACACTTGCCAGAGGCACATCAAAAAGCAAGTATCATTTTAACTAGAAGGGTCTCCCTTTCTCTTTCAATCCTCGTCGAACACTTTCAATTTCAAAGTGTTGAAATAATTAATGCTCGGTTCTCGTGTATATGCAATTTTTCCTACAACTCCAATCTTGAAGAACGAAAGTCGATAATAATTAATTCAATAGTGATTTTAACCTTGTGGTGTAATACTTATCTATTACACCTTTAACATTTGGGTTCGTATTCCCAGAATTTACATTGGAATAAAACAAATTATGATACTTACTGTAGCCAAAAGTATTTTAAGTTCAAAATAATTTTTTAAGTTTCTTATAGTTCATGAATACTAGTGTTTTATAACAATTTCTTTTGATCTTATCGTACCAACCCCACAATCAGTGACTCTTTGACAATTCAGTTTGATATTGCCACACCAACCCCAATTTACTATTTATCTTAGAATATGTTCGAAGTTCTTAGAAGATGCTAAAATTTTTACCAGGGGCGTGATGCTTGTCGGCATGGTGAAAAAGAGTTTTCCGCCTGAGTTTGTTGCTCCTCGTCGTCGTTCATGGAGAGCGATGAATGGTGACAAAAGAAATTTAAAAAAAGAAAAGAAAGAAAAGCAACGATGAAGAGAGAAATTTGGAGAGAGCAGGGAGTGTCTGTGCAGTTCCCAGATGTAGAGAGAGAAAGAGAGAGGGGATGAGTGAGGGAAAAATTAGGATTATATGGGATAAGTATGAGCCATTAGATTAAAAATGAATCTAACGGTGATAATTCAATAGTAAAGATAGTAAGATTAACTGGTAGTAAATATAACCCCTCCTTTTTTTAGAAGAAATTATGATAAATTAATCTACAGAATAACTTTTAAGAAAAAAAAACTCACAATACAATCAAACACCCTAGAATATATCGTGCATTACGCATCTACTTTTAAATTTAGCTATATTTTAATAAGTATTACAAAAACATGATTGATTAAAAGAATTCTAATTGAGACTTAAAAATAAAAATAAAAATGACACGTTATTATTATTATTTTTAAAAACAAGTTATTCTAAATCAATACACTCGAACTTAATAAATGTTTCATTACGAAGCTTATGGTGTCATATCTTCACATTTTATTATTATTATAATTTAATATTATAAAATTAGTGAAGTCTATATGAATCCATACGAGGATAGGAGCGCTTTTACTGTGCACATGGGGCAGGATAGTCCGGCAAAAAGGAAAAATAAAAAGGGATAGAGGAAAAATATAAGAAAAGAAAAGGATATAAGAGTAATTTTTTTACCAAAAATAAAAAAGGACCACAAATTTTTTTTATACTCCTCGAGCATATTAAAAAAATCCCGAGGATAGAAAAAAAAGATAAAATATAGGTCTCCTAATGTCCTACACTTGATAAATATTAGACCCTATTAATATAAGGGATACCAAATCTAAAATTATTGATTTTTTTAATTTAACAATTATAATTTATTGAGTTATACTTATTAATTAATTATTAATTTTTAATAAATTATTACCATTAAATTCACAAAGTTCAACGATTAAAATTTAGGAAAAAAAGTGTCTCATTTTAAATGATATACCTTATATTCTTTCATTCTCACAAAGAGATGTGACCCATACCTTTAAATTTTTTTCCACTTATTCCCTCTCTCATGATTTATCTATTTCTCTCATTTAAAATAACACAACTTTATGTCCTTCAAAATGATACACACTTTCTCCTAATATTTAATAATAAGCATTGTAAAACTTTTAGGTTATAAGTATGGGGAATGATATTCTAACAACCAAGTTACTACCAATCAATCTCACCGTTAGATCGATTATGTTGATCCAACGGTTATATTTATTTTCATCTTTGTATGGTCATGGTTTCTCAAATTTAATACTTTATATTTATTTTCACCTTTGTATGGTTATGATTTTCCATATTTAATGCTTTCACTTTAAATATAGGGAATCATAACCACACAAAGATGAAAATAAATAGAGTAAATATCCTTTTGGGTCCCTAACAAAAAATACGGTCCTAACTTTAGTCCCTTACAAAAATAAATTAGTCAGTTAGTCCCTAATAAATTCAAAGTGGACCCATTTTAGTCCTTTTTTAGGGACTAATATGGGTCTTTTTTGAATTTGTGAGGGACTACGATTTCAACTAAATGGATCAACTTTGAAGTTGTTAGGGACTAACTGACTAATTTATTTTTTGTAAGGGACTAAAGTGAGGACCGTGTTTTTTGTTAGGGACCAAAAATGATATTTACTCAAATAAATATAATCGTTGGATCAACATAATGGATCTAACGGTGAAATTGATTGGTAGTAACTTAGTAATAACATAACTTGGTTGTTACAATATCCTTCCTCGTATGTGAGTAATCAATTGGTTATGTTAGATGAAAAAATCTAAGTTTCCTCCATAGACATAAATTGATGGGCTCCACTAAAATAAAAAATAAAAAAACAAAATAAAATAAAGCGCAAGCTTTTAATGTGCATCCCCTGAGTATATCCTTATTATTATTATTATTATTATTATTATTATTATCAAAGCATAACCTAATCACAAACGGGGGGCAATAGAAGCATCCGATAGCCATTGAAGATGCTTTCACAGTTGTAGTGCAGAACAGATAAAACACTCTTTCTCTGCCTCTGCTGTCTCTGTTACTGCAAGTAATGGCAAGAGCAGCTTGCAATCACTTTCACCTAGTTCCCAATTTAGTTCATCCATTGAAGTCAACACTCCTTTTCACAAATCAAACTCTTTTCAACAGAAACACTCACCTTTATGGGATTCAGCGAAGGTTCTCTTCTTCTTCATCCAAGATAAGCATGAGCCTCCGGGCTGGCATCGTTGGTCTCCCTAATGTTGGCAAGTCCACTCTTTTCAATGCTGTTGTAAGCCACTTTCTCTCATTCCCACTGTGTATGTGGCTTTTTGGTCTAGAATGAGAAGAAACCAAGGAAAGCTCTTTTTTTTTTTTTTTTTTGTATCTGGGTATTCCTTAAAATGAAGGGCCTTTTTTCTCATCCACACAGTTTATGGGTATTTAAATATTGTTCTTAAGCTCAATTTTTTTTTTTTTTTTGATGGGTATGTGTTTGAGTATAGCTTATTATAGGTCAAGTAACTTCAGTGAACACTTTTAGGTAAAACGGTTGTTTTTGAGTAATAAGATTTTACTTTATTCTCCATATGCTGTGTTATGTAATTCCCTTTGATGGTTTCCTAATAACATGAGCTGTCCTCATTTTGTATGATTTACAGGGAATGCTTCTTGTTGATTCATTGTTTCTGAGACTCTTAGAATAGGCCCTGATTCAAATTTACTATCAATGTTGAACTTGATTGTTCCTTAGGGACAGGGTTGGGATCTTCGTCTGTTTGGGTTTTAAAACTCAAAAGATTGTGTTGCTAGTTCCTGTGTGTAGCACTTCTTAAAATAATAGTGGTACCTTTTGTGTTTTGCTTAATGCTAATGCTAAAGCTAAAGCTGAAAAGGAGATATGCATCTTATATACATTTGGACTGTTGATGTTTTGTTGTCTTCAGCTGAGAATGGAAAGTCAACTGAGGTGCTTTATTATATATATGCAATATAAAAAGGAGTGCACTAGTCTGGAAGATTGTTAAGGTGGCTTGGAAATATTGGAAAAAAGCCTAAGTAACGTATAAGTAATTAATAAGCACACACTATAGGAGAGATTGTGGATGGAACAGCTGTAGTTCAAGACGACAAACGAGATACTAGATGGTAGGTGCTTCAGTTCCAATTTGAATTGAGAAGGAAGGAAGGGAGAGTGGTACTTGTTGTGTATTCCAAATGGAATTCTATATTTGTTATGTGCCTAAATTTCTGTACGTACAAACATTTTTCATTTGGTGTATCTTCAGGGGTATAATTATAGAGGACGGATAGAAATATAGAAAAACAGGAAATTAAGTCCTGCAATTTTTACAGCTGACAAAGCAAGAGTGAGGACTGCTGTTTATCATTTACATCATCTCTCCTTTATTTGGGTTTCAATTCAGCTGTGTTACGGTTACCCTGTTAGATTCCAATAGTGTAAGTGAACTTTTTGTATTCACTTATTCTTTGAAATTAGCTCTGATTTTTTATATGTGTTAGAGATATATAAAACCATTAATGTAGCCTCACCTAACAGCTTAAGCTTTTGGGTTGAATTGGTTTTTTACATGGTATCAGAGTCTCGGTATCTCCGGTTCGATCCTTGCCACCCTCATTTTCTTTGTGGAACTTTTTAGTACAGGTAGGCTAGCCCTGATGCATCATTCACCTTTCAAGCCCAATAGGCTTTCTTGTGAGGGGGCGTGTTAGAGATATATAAAACTATTAATGTAGCCTCACCCAACAACTTAAGCTTTTAGATTGAATTGGTTCTTTACAATATAAATGACAATATTACTTAAGACTGCAATATTCTCCACTGCTCCTTATAGTCACAATTTCATTTAGCAGGAAGTGAATTGCAGAGTCAGAATATTAAATATTGGTGTTTATATTAGAATATTTATTCGACTATATTATGTTCATTGGCTAGTGATTAGACTACAGGTTAGCTATTGAATATTAAACCTCTATATAATGTGTTCTGCTGCCAGGTTCCCAAAATATGAAACCTCTATGTTTGGTTCCTGATTTTACCTTGCTCTAGTATCCGGTGGCTGTCTCATATTTTTCAGCAGCTTTCCCAATTCCTTGCCTCTCTCCAACCACTTTCCCGGTCAAATTCTTCTCCGTACAAGGTCTGCTTATCTGATCTGTTCAACCCCAGGCCTTTATTGTCACTTTTCTTGTCATATTCTTACTGGTTTCATAACCAGCAAACTTATGCGGCTGTCGTTGCTGTTTCTCCCTTTTTCAGTCACTATTTTACTAAACAGAAATTACCATGGCATCTAAAAGCCTACAACTTCATAGGTCCTTCACATCTTATTTTAAGATCACCAAGTATAATTCTCAACCACAATAATTCACAAACGCCTTGAGCCATAGCTCGAAATTCAGCCTTAGCACTCGATCTAGCAACCACGTCCTGCTTCTTACTCTTCCATGTCACTAGGTTACCACAAAGAAACATACAATAACCAGTGGTAGATCGACGATCAGTTACGGATCCAGCATAATCAACATCAGTATAAACTTTTAAAGAGAGATTGCCATTACGCCGGAATAACAGTCCTTTACCAGGAGTGCCTTTAAGATATTGAAGAATTCTCTCCACTTCCTGCATGTGTTTTTCTTTTGGATTATGCATGAACTGACTTACAATACTGACAACATAAGCAATATCTGGTCTAGTATGAGCCAAATATATCAGTCTCCCAACTAACCGCTGATATTGTCCTTTATCAACTGGAGGACTCTCCTCTTCATAACCCATCTTGTGATTCTGCTCAATAGGAGTACTAGAGGGTTTACACCCAAGTTTTTCCGCTTCTTTAAGAAGATCAAGGACATATTTCCTCTGGCTGATAAAAATTCCTTCCTTCGAATGAGCTACCTCTATCCCTAGAAAATATTTCAATCTCCCAAGATCTTTAATTTCAAACTCAGAGGTTAGCCGTGCTTGTAGAAAATGTTTCTTAGCAATATCATCACCTGTTATAATAATATCATCAACATATACAAGGAGTACAGTTAGCTTCGCATTTTGGGAGTGCTTGAAGAATAGTGTGTGATCTCCTTGACTCTGTTTATATCCTAAGACCAGCATAACCTTAGTAAATCTCCCAACCAGGCACGAGGAGACCGTTTCAATCCATACAGGGCCTTTTTTAACCTGCAAACTTTATTTCCTCCATCCATAGAGCCAAAGCTAGGTGGAATTTCCATGTAGACTTCTTCTTCTAACTCACCATTAAGAAAAACATTCTTCACATCAAATTGATTCATATCCCAGTTGTAATGGGCAGCAATGGACAACAAAGCTCTCACAGTATTCATCTTTGCAACTGGGGCAAAAGTTTCTTCATAATCAATGTCATAGGTCTGAGTGTAACCCTTGGCAACTAACCGAGCCTTATATCTCTCAAGAGTACCATCAGAATTATATTTCAAGGCATAAATCCATCTACACCCTACTGCTTTCTTTCTAATAGGTTTATCAACAACCTCCCATGTTTTATTTTTCTCCAAGGCATTCATCTCATCTTGCATGGCTTGAGCCCAATTCTCATCTTTTAATACTTCATGTACTGATTTTGGGATTGAGATAGAATCTAGTGCTGAAATAAAGCTTTTGTGCTTCACAGAAAGGTTAGTAGAAGAGACAAAATGAGAGATAGGGTGTTAGATACAAGATCTTTTCCCTTTTCTTAGGGCAATAGGTAAGTCATTAGAGGTACTGGGTAAGCTATCAGAAGCAACAGGCAAATCATTATATGCAACAATATTAAGTTCATAAACAGGAGAAGTAATAATATTAGAATCAGAAACAAGAGATTCAGGACTTACCAGCGGTTCAGACGATTGAGGTTGCTGGTGAAGTAGTGTGGGCTGCTTTCTCCTATGATATACCAACTCAGGTGTCACAATCCTCTGTATTTTCGGTGTATCAGATGGGTCAGACACAAAAGAATTAGAAACAGGAGGAAGAGGTGTAGGAGAAGGCATGGAAGGTCCAGACTCAAAGATAGAAGGTGATGAATCTACTGAAGAACTGCTCTCCCCTTGAAGATGAGGACTTGGGAAAAAGGACTCGGATTCATGACATGTGACATCCATTGAGACAAAGAATTTCCGACTAGCAGGATGATAACACTTGTAGCCTTTCTTATCACAGGCATAACCAAGGAAGATATATTTGAGAGCCCTAGGATCCAACTTATTGCGAAGATGTTTATGAACGTGGACAAAGACAACACACCCAAACACTCATGGCTGAAGACTTTGCATAGAGGGAATAAAGGGAAAGAATGAAGTCATTGAGTGAATAGGACTTACATTGTCAAGAAGATGACGATTCTTTCTCTCAGCAACTCCATTTTGTTGAGGGGTGTCCACACAAGTAAGTTCATGAATCATGTCCTAATCTTGGATGAATTTGGAAAGACATTGATTGACATATTCGGTACCATTGTCAGACCTTAGTCTTTTAATTCTTTTTCCAAATTGGGTCTCAATCATTTTATAAAATCGAAAGAATATCTGTGGTACCTCAGATTTTTCATGCATTAAATAAACCCAGGTTACACGAGTGCAATCATCAATGAAAGAAACAAACCATTTATTACTAGAAGCATGAGGAACTTTAGAAGGACTCCAAACATCAGAATGAACAAGATCAAAAGGCTCATCACTTTTAATGGTACTAGAAGGAAAAGAGACACGATGGTGTTTAGCAAACTCACAAACATCACAATGAAAACACTCAACAGACTTAGACAAAAATAATGATGGAAATAAAGACTTAATCAAACGAAATGGAGGGTGCCCCAAGCGTTTATGATGGAGCCAAATCAAAGAGTCCGCAGTAGACTGAGACTGAGTCAACAAGGTGTGATCTTTAGCATACTTTGCAGAAGATTCTGGCACCAGATAGTACAGCCCACCATGCTCTTTAGCACCCCCAGTCGTCTTTCCCGTGGCGAGATCCTGATCAACGCAGAGTAGGGAAGAAAGTTACAGTGCAATTCAAATCTTTGGTAATTTTATGGTAGAAAGAAGATTTGTGGAGAGTTTGGAAACATAAAAAACATTTTGGAGATGTAAGGAAGGCTGTAAATATATGTTACCGGAACCCGCAACTGATGTGTGTGAGCTACAACTATTGTATGGGTGCCAATAATAGGGTCATAAGAAAGAAATGAGTCAGCATAACAAGCCATATGATCAGTAGCACCAGAATCGATAATGCAAGAATGTTTAAAATCA